TCGGCAGGCCCCTGGTCCAGGCCAGCCCAGCGGAAAGGCCACCGGTGGGGGCCTGCAAGGTCCCGCATCCTCTCAGCAGAGACCACTCCCCAAGCACTCTGCCTGGGCGTTGTGGGAGTTGGTGCTGGAGAAGGAATTGTGATTACTTGCTTTATTTTTGAATGTTTTTCCTTCTGGTCTTAAAAGCAATGCAAACTCTTTATTTAAAAACAAAAAGATGAGAGAAGAGAAAGAAACACCATCCCCATCTCCGAGAAAAGGCTGGCACCGTGGGTGGACCAGCAGCACACTGAGGGGGCAGCCTGGTGGAGGGGCCTGTGCTTTGCTGAGGGCACCAAGCCCTGTGGGGGGGCCTTGCCACTATCCCAGCCCTGCCAGATCCCCAGGGGACCCCAGAACTTCCCAGATAACCTCCTTCTAGAAGCTGGGCAGGTGCAAAAGGGTGGCCCGGGGACCCGGGTCTATCCTGCACCTCCAGACATCAGGACGCCTCCAGACTCTCACACCCCACAGGCAGCCCTGGTGTGGCCTCCCCAGCTCCTGACTCCGGGTGGGCCCAACCTCCCTTCTGAACCCCCGTTTCTGAGAATGAGGTGGTTTTGGAGCTCGTGAGCAGAGGAGCAGTCAGCACTGGATGGCAGCCAAGCATCACCTGGCACTCGGAGCCAGACCCCTGAGTACCCTGTCGCTGCAGCCTGGAGACCAGGCTCGCCAGGACCCCTCCCCAGAGGCCTCGCAGTGGGCAGAGATTGGGGTGTGTGTGGGCGTACATGCCATGTGAGTGACTCTGTGGTCTGTGTGTGTGGAGTATGTGGTATGTGGCCTGCGTGGTCTTTCTCTGTGGTATACGCTGACCCACGTGTGTGTGGAGTATGTGGTATGTGGCCTGCGTGGTCTTTCTCTGTGGTATACGCTGACCCACGTGTATGGATTGTGTGGTCTGTGTGTGGTGTATATGGGCACATGTGTGTTTGGTCAGTGTGTGGTATGTACATTAACGTGTGGGTGTGTTTGGTCTGTGTGTGCATGTGTGTGGTGTATGTACATGCACACGTGTGTGTGAGTCCCGTGAGGTATGAGGGGAACAGCTGTGGGACAGCCAGGGAGCTCCACTCTGGAGCTCCAGCCACCCTGGCTCTTGGCTGCCCTGGCCCTGTCAGTAGTCCCAGAAGGAGGTTTTGGGGTCACTCAGGTGTTGGGCTGGGTGTTCTCATTTGGAGAATGGGACCCTGAGGTTGGGGTGAGTCCTGGGCCAGCCCCTGGCCTGGCAGAAGCCATCCCTGCCCTTGCATCTACTGCAGGCTCCAGGCACCCACCTGCTGGGGCTGAGCTGAGGGCCACGACAGCCCAGAAAGGCTCGGAGGCACCACGGCCTGGCTGCCACGTGGATCTCAGATGCTGGCCTCCAGCACCATGGGAGAAGAACGTGTGCTGTTGAGGCTGCCCAGTGCACAGCTCGCTGTGGCGCTCTGTTACGCGGGAAGCTCCTGCATGGTCCTGACGCCTCCTCTAGGAAGCCTCCCAGTGGCCGCAGGGCAGGGATGTAGGGGTGGCTTTGTTTCAGGGCTCAGTACCGTCTTGTCCACATAATTTGGTTCGAATTGTGTACCTGAGGACTGAGAGTTTGGTTGACCATGGCTGGTTTGGGGGCCGCCTGGGTGAGGGTGAACTGGGATTGGAAACCCTCCAGTGCACTTTGGTGTGGCCCTGCCCAGTGTGTGGCACCTGTGCCCCTGCCCAGTGTGTGGCACCTGTGCCCCTTACAGAGGAGGAGGGCAGCTAGGAGGCACAGCGGCTTGCCCGGGGCGCTGGCCATGCCAACACCCTGGCCAGTCAGGTAGCGCCTGAGGGGTGGGCTGTGTGGTTGGTGACTTAGTCAGTGACCAGGCCCAGCAGCAGGACGAGCAGGCTTCCTCAGGCTCAGCGGTACCCCCACCACTGCTGTGGCCGTCTCCCCATGGCACCAGCTACTGTGGGTGGATGATTCCAGAGAACTGCCTCATGCTGGGCCCTGCCCCAAGGAGGCAGGTGGCCCTGGGGTGGCCTGGACACCGTGAGTCTCTGCTGGGGCTGATGTTAGAGGGAAGGGTTTGGGATCAAGGCGGCGGCAATGCAGCCTGGAATAGTGGAGTGGCCCAGAGCCAACCTGCAGAGTTTAACACAGCAGCCGGGGACCATGCTCCGATCATAGCGACTTCTGCATAAATCACCACGTAAGGACGTGTGCTCGGGACCCGCCCAGATGCGTGCTACTCCGCAGCACGGCTTTGACGCAGTCACCGCTGTTATCCGGAGAGAAGCAGCACCTCATCCTCCCGGATGCTCTTTCCCCGCGGTATTTACTCATCCACTCCTTCACTTGTTCATTTGGTGTCTCCCTTTTCTGGGAGCAGTGTGTAATTTTGTGTGCATTTTGCCCTCCCCACAGCCTTCGGGGAGGTGGCCCTGACAGGGCAACGAGGGTTTTGCTCATCGTGGGAGGGGCTTGGTGGTGGGATTGGTTCACAGTCCCAGGGGAGGCCCCTGCTGCCCCAGCATCCTTCCTGTGAACTCATGCCACGTGCACCCCGCAGCCATGCACCGGCCATGGCTCAGCAGACCCCTATGCACTGGGCTCTGCAGCCAGGCCTGGGCCACCTTGGACAGCTCCATGCCCTGCACCATGGGCAGAAGGGGCTGAGGCAGGCCGGTCTGGTGCCCACTGGAGTTGTCCCCTGTGCTTCCTGGTCACAGTCAGACATGGGCACTCCCCAGGGTTGAGGACAGCCTGAGCCATGTTGGGTGTTGGGGTGAGAGAGCTGGACGACCCCTCCAAGTTCCTCCAAGCCACACCCTACCAGTACATGTGACGTCAGCTCTGGGCAGGGTGCTGGGCTGGAGGACCCAGAGGTGACAATTGACAAGGCAGGTGCCGGAGGAGGGGGCGTCTAAGGTTATCGTAGGAGAAAGAGTGGGATGGATAAGGAGGGGCACCAGGCTGGAGAAACAGCTGCTGGGAAGCGCCCAGGCATTGCCTGCAGGTTCCTCTCTGCCAGGCTGGAATGGCCACCCTTCGTCCCTCATGCACCCACCACGGCTTTCCTCGGAGTCACCTCCCTGCCATCCTGTTGTTCTGAGCCCCCCAGGCAGCCCCCAGACTCTCTGCTGATCTCCACAGGCTGGGAGCCCTGAGTCCGGGCATCTGTGATGTTGTCGCCGTCTCCCTCAGGTGGAAGGGGCCCCTGGGGAGGAAACCACACTGTTCTCACTGCCGGGGCCCCTGGGGAGGAAACCACACTGTTCTCACTGCCGGGGCCCCTGAGGAGGAAACCACACTGTTCTCACTGCCGGGGCCCCTGGGGAGGAAACCACACTGTTTTCTCACTGCCGGGGCCGCTGGGGAGGAAACCACACTGTGTTCTCACTGCCAGGGCCGCTGGGGAGGAAACCACACTGTGTTCTCACTGCCGGGGCCCCAGGGTGCTGCACAGAGGAGGGCTTGCAGCAGGCGCTCGTTACCTGCTCGGAGGAAGGAGTGAGGCAGCCAGTGAGTGGACATCCAGGTGGTTCCAGGGAGCAGGTGTCCACGTGGAGCTGGATGGCAGGGGACCTGGCACTCACCATTCAGGGCGGATTTGGGCAGCACTGGCTGAGGGACAGGCTCCATCCTGTCCTGGGAGTGCTGGGGTTTCATCTTTACCTGGAGCGCAGGCACTATCTTTATTTGTCAGTGTTAATATCTGGCCGTGATTGGCGGTGGCCGTGCCGCGTTTTACCAGCAGAGTGGCGTCTTAAATTCCATGGGTTGATTTGCAGGGTAGAACTTCCTGGTGGTTCACCTTCCCGCTCCTGAGACGCCCGGGCTGCCGGCCTCTTGCAGAGACAGCCTTCTTGGAATTTAGGGGATGTGGAGGGGGCAGTGAGGAAAGCCAGGGAAATTATTTATGCTGGCACCTTTGGAAGAAATGTGCCCCTTCTCTGTACCACAGGTGATCTCAGACCCTGACTCTGCCCCCAGGGTCCTTCCCGCCTCCCTCCTGCCCTGTGGGGTGTCTGTAATGTGGGGAGCAGAGGTGGTATGACAAGAGAGATCAGGGATGCAGGGTGCCCCTGTGGGAGCCTGTCCAGGACACCCATGGGTGATGGGTGTCTGCACAGCACATCCATGAAGCTTGGGTGTACCTGTGTCTGCATGGGCACGTGCACCCCTGGGAAGCATATCCTCATGTGCTGCTAGTGAGCCTGGACCCCCTGGCCTTAGTGTGCTCATACCTGGGTGGCACCCGTGTAAACCTGCATGCCTGTGGCTCACTCCAGGGGTGTGGTGTGTGCACATCTGTGCCTTGTGTGCGGCCATGTGTGCCTGTGTGCATATATGTACATGCACATATGTGTGTGGGGGCGTGCACGGCACTGTGGGAGGGCAGAGGAAACCCTGAACCCTTTGGCATTGATACACACAGTGGTGCCTGCCTGCTCATGCCTCTGTACCCAGGCGGGGATGGCAGTTCCTCCCTGGCAGCGTGGCTGGTTCCACACAGCCTTTGACAAGCCTGAGAGGGGGTCTGACCTGTTTTCCGGCTCCAAAATGCCATGCCCTGGGTCCAGCGTGCTGGCGCTTGGGGATGGAGACCAAGCACTGCCTCGTAGAGCCCGGCTTCCCTCCAGCAGCGCCTGATTGTGTGCAGGGGAGCCAGCTCCCTCCTCGTGATCTGAGCCTTTCATTTCCGGGCGTGACAAAGATGGGGCTGCGTTTAATTTCCTGTCTGCCAAGGCAGTGCCGCCTGAACGCCAGGCTGTGCACAGGGTGGAGGTCGCCGACTTGACCCAGTTCTGGCTTCCATCGAGCGCTCCTTGCTGGCAGCCTTCGAGGTGCTTTCGGACGCTCCCTCTGAGTGAAGCGGTCTCCCTGCCCTGTGGCCTGGCCACCGGGGGCCCCTTGGTGGGTGGGCTTTGGGTGGGCTCTGGCTATGGGTGTCTGTAACGTGTGGCCACTCATTCGCTTCTGCTCCTCTCTGCAGGTCAGCTGGCCGCCGGCACCTGTGAGATTGTGACCCTGGACCGGGACAGCAGCCAGCCTCGGAGGACGATCGCCCGGCAGACCGCCCGCTGTGCGTGTAGAAAGGGGCAGATCGCCGGCACCACGAGAGCCCGGCCCGCCTGTGTGGACGGTAAGCACCTGCAGCCCCGGGACGCCTCCGGGCGCTGAGCGCGGCATCCCCGAGGGTGCCTCTTCCCTGATGCGGCCCCTTCCCTGAAGGTCCCCCTAGGCCTCGGTGTATCCTCGGGTCAGGCCCCTGGCCATTGGCACAGCTGCTCCTGTGGATGTGTGAGCTTGTGGCTTGGGGACTGGCTGGGGCGCAGTCTGCAGTTCCTGGGGGTGGTCAGGGAGATGCCGGCACCCTGCCTTACTTGCCTGTGTGTGGGGGTCTCTGGCTCGAGGCTGTGGTTCTTTGGTGTTGCCTCTGGGAGAGGAAAAGGACAGCAGAGGGGCCATCTGCAGGACGGCGAGGTCCCCTGGGTGCTGTTCCGTCGTCTACGTGTGGTCTGGCCGAGGCTGCCAGCGGGACCTGGCTCCTTGTCTCTGGGTCTGACCAGTTCAAGACACTCTCGTGCCTAGGCTCGGGAGGCCACAGCTCCGGCCCCCGTGGGCTCTGAGCACGTGCAGAGGAGCGCCTGCTGTCAGCTGGTTGTGATCCCCGGCCCCTAGATGTCAAGCTGCTGACAAGCTGTGCTGTGGCTCAGCCTTGCTGGAAAGGGCACTTGGAAAGGGCACCTGCTATGAGGTGGCACAGGGTGGGAGGGGCTGTCCTGGCGCCTGGTGGGAGCCTGTCCGCTGGTAGGGAACTCTGCTGTGCATATGCTGTTGCTGACTGTAGGGGGAATGTGGGCTTGACCAAGGTCATTGGTGACCAGCCAGGCTCAGGGGTCAGCGTGAGACCTGGGAACCCCACAGCCGGGACCTCCCCAAGGCCCAGTGTGTCCCGGGAAGGAGTCTAGTGTCAACACCAGCCAAAGGTCAGGGGTGGGCGTGTAGGGCTGGCATTAAATCCAGGCTGCCCGCCCGCCTTGTGACCAGAGTGGGTGGGGAGACCCCTCCCTGGGGCAGACATGGGCACTGCTATGGGCCTAGCCGGTAGCAGCCGTGCGCCAGTCCAGGCAGCCATGGGGTGAAGGACCCCATGCAGGGGTATTGGATGCCTTGGTTCCAGGCGCAGCAGCTTGACCACAGCCCAGGAGAGAGTGCAGGGAGGGAGGGTCCCCTGTGAGTGAGATGCGGAGTCCGCTAGGCGGGGGGCCCTGAGGCCACTCCTTGGGGTGGAGAGAAACCAGCATCCCTGAGTGGCAGGCGTAGACTTGAGCTGCTGTGGGGTTGCCCTCGAGCTGCGGCCTGGTGGGGGCAGAGGCCCTGCAAAGCCAGGAGAAGGTAGGGGCAGGGGCTGGGCAGGAGAAGATAGGGGCAGGGGCTGGGCAGGTGGAGTAAGTCCGAGGATATATAGGGGTGTCACTGGCTGGTGGCCCCTCCAGGCCTTGGTGGACTTCAGGGCAGCTATATCCGTGGCATCCTGCACTGAACATGGGTGCAGGCATCTCAAGCCGGGTGCAGCCCTCACTGGCCTTCCGGGGACGTGGTGCAGGGACCTGTGGAGATGGGTCCCAGACTCAGCTGGCCCACCCCATGGAGGGCAGACCCCTGCCAGGCTTCCCAGGGCTGGATTTGGAGTCCAGGTTTTCTGACTCTGGTCAAGGGTCCTTTTCTCCCCTGCTGCCCCTGCGGGAGCTCCAGATACCCAACTTCAGATCCCACCGCCTCTGCCCAGGAGCCCGACGTGGGCAGCCTTGCCCTTGTGCTGTGCTGTGATCTGGAACACGGGGTCAGGGATAGAGCCTGCTGCTTCGTAGGTGCTGGTGAAGGTCCATGGAGAAGGGATGGGGCGCACAGAGATAGGGCCGAGGTATCCTGAGCACCCCACGGGGGAGGCGGCTGCACTAGGAATAAGAACGCCCGTGTAAGCCGGACGCAGTGGCTCACGCCTGTAATCCCAGTACTGTGGGAGGTTGAGGCAGGTGGATCACGAGGTCAGGAGTTCAAGACCAGCCTGGTCAAGATGGTGAAACCCCATCTCTACTAAAAATACAAAATTAGCTGGGTGTGGTGGCGTGCACCTGTAATCCCAGCTACTTGGGAGGCTGAGGCGGAGAATTGCTTGAACTCAGGAGGCGGAGGTTGCAGTGAGCCGATATCGCACCACTGCACTCCAGCCTGGGCGACAGAGCGAGTCTCAAAAAAAAAAAAAAAAAAACTCCCAGTGTGACCAGGAGAAAGGTGTTCTAATAGGACAAGCCCTTGATCCCCTAAAGCCGGATAGACCCCTCTTGGGGTTCTCAGCAGAGTCAGGGCGTGGTCAGGAGGATGAGGGCTGACAGAGTCACTGAGCTTCCTCCGGGTGTCTCACTGATGAGTGTGTCCTAAGACTGTGCAGGAACAGGCCAGGCAGTGAGTCTGCTCCAGGGCCCACTACGTGGACCCCTGACCCCTGTGGCCTTTACAGGAAGGGAAGGAGGGGAGGGGGCTGCGGGCTCTTGGCTGAAGGGAGCGCGCTCAGCCCAGGCTTCAGCCCAGGCTTCAGCCCGTGCACCTCTTCTCCCCGCAGATGCCCTGTGCACCTGGGGGTTGCATGCACTGCTCAGGTGGGGTACCCGGGAAGAACTCATGGGCCAGGTGGCCTTCCGGCTGAGCCACCTGTCTGTCTTCCCTAGACCCTGCAGCCGTGTGCCACTGGCCCTCCTGCCACCAGCCCTGAGGGTTTCTGGGAAGCTCTTTGGCACTTGGGAGGGGGATTGTGGGGCGAGAGGCTGAGCTTGCTGGAGTGGGCTGGAGGAGAGGGGAGCCATCAGAGGCTTCTGGTGCATTTTGAGGACCTGGGGCGGGAGGAGCGGGCCCTGGAGCCTTGTTTTTGTCTTTATTAAAAACATCTATCAGTTTGCATCTGTGGAAGGCATGTGATTAAACACCAGGTACGCAGGACCTCAGGGCCGCTCTGTGGCTCTCAGGCCTCGGTTCTACAGAGCTTGTTCCCGGGGCAAGCTGGGGCAGAGATGTGGCGGCCTTCTTTCCAGGGAAAGGGACTGCTTCTCCCACAGCCACTGCCCTCCTGCCTGCCTGTATCTGGAACCACTGGAACACATGGTGGCCAGGGCGCCTTCTCAGGAACACTGATGCTTCCCGAGACTGGGAAGGAGAGAGGTGCTCTGCACTGCCAAGGAGTTCACAGCCAGGCCGTCCTTTCTTCTCATGACTTCCGCCCGCCCGTGGGGAGAGTTGGGGTCAGAATTGATTACTAATTGAATCTGGGTCTGCTCATCTGAAACCGCATTCACTTCCCTCTCACCAGGAGCCTCCTGTGCCTCAGGAGCCGGGTCCCAGAGACCCAAATTAAAACCGTACCATTTTCAAGGGGGGGCCAAACAAATTAGTTAGCTTGCTTCTTTTTGCACAGTGGGCATTTTCCAGGCTGCCATCTAATTTAATTTTTGCTTTTCTATTTTCTTGCTCTGTGTGCATAATAAGTTTCCTCGCATGTGAATTGTGTTTGCTAAAGAGAAAACTTGTGCTGTGTTGGGCCAGGTTGGAATTGAATGTGAGTAGGGTTGAAATATTGCTGCCCCTACTGTGTTCTGTGACCACAGGCACCCGGAATGCCGGAGGAAGCCTGACTGTGCTCACTTGTTCATTCGTTGGCTGCTTAATTATTCATACATTTGCTCACTCACTCATCTGTTGGAAGAAGGTGTATACCCATGGCAGCAGGGGAGGTGAACGGGGGCGTCAACTCAAAACACCCAATACAGTGAGCCACGCAGTGCTGCAGGTGCGGGAATTCAGACTGTGGCCCCAGAGTGTCCTCACTTCTTCCTGCCGGGACCTCAGCAAGGATGCATCCATGAGGGGGCATTTGAATAGGGTATTGAGGGATGAAGAGGAGCTCACTAGAAATGCTTCTCTTTATGAAAAGAGGGGGCCAATGATTAGAGAGGAATTATAGCCTCCAGCCTCCCCGGCCTTGTCTCTGAGCCAAAGCATTTCTGGGTGAACCATGTCCCTGCCTGTACGGGGCAGGTTCGTGAGTCTGTGCACCTGCATGCGAGATCCAACTTATGGAACCATCAGTGAAAGATTCAAACACAAACCAGCCACGCACTGCGGTGCATTCCATCCTTACACACAGTATCAGCACTGTGGCACTTTCCATCCTTAAATATCAGCCACCGAGCCTCCCCTCCCCCAGGGCTGCCCTCTGAGGCAGGCACCCGGGTGGGTGATGCCCTGGTGGGCTGGGCAGGCCCTGCTTCTGCTCCTTTCTAGCTGTTTATGCAGCTGCACCAGGTTCCCTTTTCCGTCATCACACCCGTGCCGGGTCCCGCTGCCACGACAGCACTGCACTGAGGACTGAGACCCTGTCCCCGAGTCCAGCGCTCACCCAGCCCTTGCCAGGCGTGCAGCAGGTGGCTGTACCTGGCCAGCCCTCCTCGCTGAAGCAAGGTCTTCCTTTATGAATAGAGGTGCTGTCTCCTGCAAGTCAAGTTCTCCTGAAACTCCTTTCCCAGGAAATCAGAGACTGCAGCCCAGTGGTGGGGGCAGCAGAAGGTGGTGGTTTGTGGGTGGGACTGCCCCAGAGCCGAGCCAGAGGGGTGAAGGGTGGGAGCCTCAAGTCTCGGGCCTGGGTGGGGGCAGTTTTCCCTGGGAGCTTTTGAGGGAGTGGTAAGGTGCAGTCATGGCACTGCGCAGACTCAATGTCAGGGCCGCAGTGGCCACTGGGAGGTGCGGGACATCCCGGGCTGACCAATAGGTCTGGGGAGGCTGTGCCCAGGAAGGGGCAGGGTCGGAAGGCCTGGAAGTGGGGGCTGAGCGGAGCCTTGTATTCTCCAGACGTGAGACCTTGCAAGCCACCTGGGTCCTGGGCTGGGAAAAGAGACAGAACCAGGCAGGTGGGCACTGCTGGGTTCTGGGCAGAGGTGTGGTGGCCGGAGTCTTTGCTTCTCCGTGTTGGGAGTTTGAGGCAGGTGTGGGACAGTAGAGGCCCTGCCCACTCTCAGGCCGCGTGGGTGGGTGGCAGTAGACGCGCAGCCATAGGCAGGTGCACGCTGAGGCTGTGGTGTTTGGCGTCTG